GTGTCATAGGCCACATTCCGGATACGCACACGGTTCCGATCAAACTTTAAAACCACTTCATCTGGGGAAGAAAAAGGTCAGGCTTCAGACTCCCTTTCTCTGGGAGCTGCCAAGCAACATGTTCTTCTAAATACGGGGTCCCATATTCTCCAGGGAATAAAGGGACACCAGGGCCATCCTAGAGTGTCCCTCGTTGTGGGGCAGGAACCTTTGGGTTCTGACCAGGCTGCTGGCCCAGAAAGCTCCATTGCCTACTACCTGCGTGATCATGTCACAGCTGGGTGGAAGGGGAGGATGAGCTGAACTGGGGTCCACTAGGAGCCTCAGCATCCCTACCCCTCCTCATATTCTCCCTCTCTCCTTTTTTTTTTTTTTTTTTTTTTTTGAGATGGAGTCTCACTCTGTCGCCCAGGTTAGAGTGCAATGGTGCGGTCTTGGCTCACTGCAGCCTCTGCCTCCTGGGTTCAAATGATTCTCTTGCCTCAGCATCCCAGCTAGCTGAGACTATAGGCACATACCACCATACTTGGCTAATTTTTGTATTTGTATTTTTTGTTTTTTATTCTCAGATGGAGTCTCACTCCTATCACGCAGGCTGGAGTGCAGTGGCGCGATCTTGGCTCATTGCAACCTCCACCTCCCGGGTTCATGCGATTCTCCTTCCTTAGCCTCCCAGGTAGCTGGGATTACAGGCACACACCACTACACCTGGCTAATTTTTGTGTTTTTAGTAGAGACGGGATTTCGCCATGTCAACCAGGCTGGCCTCGAACTCCTGACCTCAGGTGATCCACCTGCCCTGACCTCAGGTGATCAATCCTGCCAAAGTGCTAGGATTACAGGCATGAGCCACCACACCCGGCCTAATTTTTGTATTTTTAGTAGAGACGGGGTTTCACTATGTTGGCCAGGCTGGTCTCAAACTTCTGACGTCATGATCTGCCCGCCTCGGCCTTCCAAAGTGCTGGGATTACAGACATGAGCCACTGCACCTGGCCTCCTTTTTTTTTTTTTTTTTTTTGAGGGAGTCTCTGTTGCCCAGGCAGGAGTACAATGGCGCAATCTTGGCTCACTGCAACTTCCGCCTCCTGGGTTCCAGTGATTCTCCTACCTCAGCCTTCTGAGTAGCTAGGATTACAGGTGCTCGCCACCATGCCCGGCTCATTTTTGTACTTTTTTTTAGTAGAGACGGGTTTCTGCTATGTTGGCTAGGCTGGTCTCGAACTCCTGACCTCAAGTGATCCTCCTGCCTTGGCTTCCCAAAATGCTGGGATTATAGGCATGAGGCACCGTGCCTGGCCTCTCTCTCTCCGTTCTCCCCATCCCCTGAGGCAAGTCACCAACCCCTCCACAAGCTGCTTTCCTCATCTGTATGAGAAGGATAACCAGGGACCTTCCCTTTGTTAAACGAAATCACAGAGTAGGCCGGGCACAGTGGCTCACGCCTGTAATCCCTGCACTTTGGGAGGCTGAGGCAGGCGGATCACCTGAGGCTGGGAGTTCGAGACCAGCCTGGCCAACATGGTAAAACCCTGTCTCTACTAAAAATACAAAATTAGCTAGGCGTGGTGGCGCATGCCAGCTACTCGGGAGGCTGAGGCAGGAGAATCACTTGAACCCAGGAGGCGGAGATTGCGGTGAGCTGAGATTGGACTATTGTACTCCCGCCCAGGCAACAAAGCGAAACTCCATCTAAAAAAAAAAAAAAAAGCCCCTGGCCTGGTGCCCAGGTGCAGCATGTGTGCAACAGATGCCAGACACATTTTTGCCTCCCTTGCTTCTAGTACCATCAGCACAGTGCAACTCACACAACCAGCCACTCAGACGCCCAATAAAACCACATAGAGGTGGACTCAGATCAGCCCAGCTCCTCCAGAAGCCTCTCCCAGCTCAAGACCCCAAGCTGCAGAGGCTGCGCACTGCCCACCTGCGGCTGTCTTCCTCCTCACCTAAAGCCCCGTTGAGGTTCTGAAAGATCCGAGACTTATGATCCAGATTAAGGCTGAGTTTCTCCTAAATGGAATGAGATGCGATAGAGTGGTTAAAATGGAAGGAGTGGGAAGGACATCATTTCTCTCTTCTCTCTCTCTCTCTTTTTCTCTCACTTTTGTTGCTTAGGCTGGAGGGCAATGGCATGATCTCAGCTCACTGCAATCTCTGCCTTCCGGTTCAAGCGATTCTCCTGCTTCAGCCTCCCAAGTAACTGGGACTACAGGAGAGTACCACCATGCCTGGCTAATTTTTGTATTTTTAGTAGTGACAGGGTTTCACCATGTTGGCCAGGCTGGTCTCAAACTCCCGACCTCAAGTGATCCACCAGCCTCAGCCTCCCAAAGTGCTGGGATTACAGGCGTGAGCCACCGTGCTTTTTCTTTTTTGTGAGAGACAGAGTCTCATTCTGTCACAGAGGCTGGAGTGCAGTGGTGCAAAACATCCTCAAACTCCTAGGCTCAAGTGATCATCCCACCTCAGCCTCCCAAGTAGCTGGGATTACAGGTGTACACCATGAAGTCTGGCTAATTTTTTTTTTTTTTGTAGAGATGAGGTCTCAACTATGTTGTCCCGGCTGGTCTTGAATTCCTGGGCTCAAGCAATCCTCCTGCCTAAGCCTCCCAAAGCGCTGGGATTACAGGCGTGAGCCACCACGCCCAGGCACACATTTTTCTCTTTACAGCTCCCTTTGCCCCTCCACTCCCATTCAGCCTGAGGCCTCCACTCCCACAGAGGTGTGGGATGCACCCACTCCTCTGTCTTCCCTACCCTCAGTCCTGGGTCCAGGTAGAGCCGTGTGTAGAACAGCTGGTCATCGTCATCATCCTTGTACTTCCACTGGCGCACGATCTGGTGGATGGTGGTGGCAAAGCCGATGAATCCTGGTGAGGAGGGGAAGTGTTGACCCCGAGACTCCCAGGGTCCCAGGGCCTGTCCCCCAGGCCCTCTCCAGCCCTCAGGCACCTTTAACACTCTGTCCCACCACTCTTGGCCCCTCTGCCTTGGGCACCTTGCCACTCACCACCAGAGTTGAGGAAGCGCTTCCCCGTGCCCACCTCAGGGTACTGCTCCGCCAGCCCCCACTCGGGCCAGCAGAAGCTCTCCGCAGAGAAGAGCAGGCGGCTGCCACTCTGGACGAACTTCTTCAGCAGCTCTGAGGGGCTGCCGGCCAGAACCACATCGTAGCTGGGTGAGGAAGGGGAGGATGAGCAGGGGTCCACTGGGAACCTCAGCATCCTTACCTTGCTCCCTATCCCAAGCCCCGTTACCTGTCCACAAACATGATGATCGTATCCTCCCTGTCAGCGTATTTCTCCATTTCCTTCTTGAGCCACCGGACCTTCTGTCCTCCACCGACTGTTCGGGCCACATCACCCCCTCGCCACTCCTCTCCCAGGCCCAGGGTCTGCGGAGAAGATGCCTCATGCCAGGCAAGGGGTGGGGAGTTGTCGGGGGGGAGGGGGGGAGCTCCTGACCAGGCTCACCGTGGGGACCTGGGCATCCAGACTTCAGCCTACCCCTCCTGCTGGGACCCCCTCCCAGAGGCTTTTCCCTCTCCTCACCCGCACGGTGTAGTTGAAGAACTCCGCAGAGCGCAGGAAACGCAGGTACCCCTCGGTTTCAGCTGTGGCCACAGTCATCACCAGCAGCTTCTCTGTTACCAGAGGGAATTGGCACTTGGGATCCACCGCCCAGCTCCGGGCCCCACGTGCTTTGCTGTCCTCCCTCTCACTCGACTTCTCTCCCTTTCTTCCTTCCCATTCTTAAACTCTTCTCACCCAGGAACACTCTGACCCCAGGGAGGACAGGGTGGGAGTGGCGCCCAGGAATTCCGAGTCCGTTTGCACAGGGAGGCTGGAAACCTCAGTTCAGGGTGGTAATGGGCAAGGGGCTTGGCGCGACTCAGCCCCAAGAGCACGCTGGGCGGCGGACGGGACAGACACCTCCTCGAGCCCCCGACCCTCTCCGGGCCAGGCTGGCAGGCACGTCAGCCTCTGCCCCCTTGGCCGCGCCGGGCCTCCCCGGGATCTCACCTGGGTTTACCGGGTCTCGGCCCCGGGGCCGGTCGGAGGCTGAGGCCGCAGGGGGCAGCAGCAGCAGCAGCAGCAGGAGCCGGAGTCCTGGCCCCGAGGAGGTCATGGTGGGGAGGGGGCCCAGACAGCACCCAGGATCCTGGGACCTCAGCTACGCGCCTGGATCCCAGCTCCGGAGGGGAGCTCCGGGAAGGGGGCGCTCGGGCTGCTGTGCAGCCGCCGCGGGGAGCAGCTGGGCTGGGGCCACGCCCTGGAAAAAAGGCGTATCCGGAGGCTGCAGAAAGCTCCAGATGCCGGCGCCGCAGACAAGGCGAGGATTGTCCCGGGCGCACGGGAGGCGGGGGAGGGGCGGCAGCTCGGGCCGGCGGGCGGGAGACAGCGACTCTGGGCCGAGCCCCCCGCTTTACACATGTGGAAGCTGAAACCTGGACAGGGGAAGTGACCCCTGGCGGTGGGTCCGGAGGGACGCGGGGGCGGGTCCTGGCAGCAGCCCTGCCGGGAGAGTGCGGGCGGAAGACGGGGAGAGCTAGGGGGTGGCGGCGACAGGGAGGGAGGAAGCCCAGGAGTCCGCCGCGGGACGGAGGCCTGGGGGAACTGGGAGCTGAGCTTTCTGCAGAGGGCCACTAGGAACCTCGGATTGCCCACGGAAGCCAGTCCGCTGGGATCAAAGCCACTTTCTTTGACAGTTCGGCCCACTTCCTTTTCTGCCCGGGGAGAAGCTCCAGGGTCTGCCTTTGTGATCAGAGCATCTTCACAAGGACCAAAGGAAAATAAGGTTTCTCGTAAGAACACCGTGAGCACATCTTTAAAATGACCCATTTCGTGGCTCCTACAAGATTTACACCTCCACACTGAGGCCGGAAGTAGTTTTGCCCCTATAAAACATGGCAAAAAGCTTTCTTGTCTCCAAGGAAACGCCACGTAATGAGTCAAAGCGGTGGCGCACGCGCGGAAGTACAAGCCACCGGAAGTGATGGCGCCCCTACCAACGCCGTGGGTTTAGTACGCGTGCGCAGCAGTCTCTTCCGACAGTTGTGTTGTGCAAATGGTGGAGAAGAAAACTTCGGGTATGTGAGCCCCCGCGGTTCGCCCCCTTCCCCTTCCCAAGTCCAAACCAGTCCTAGAATTTTCTTACCTAGTCATTCCTCTTTTTTTTTTTTCTTTTGAGACGTGGTCTCGCTCTTTCACCTAGGCTGGAGTGCAGTGGCGTAGTCATAACTCACTGCAGACTCGAACTACTGGGATCAAACCATCCTCCCATCTCAGCCTCCCGAGTGGCTGGAGCTGAAGGCATGAGGCACCACGCCTGGCTAATTTTTAATTTGTTATGTGATGACGGGCTCTCGCTATGTTGCCCAGGTTGGTCTCCAACTGTTGGCCTCAAAGCGATCCTGCCGCGTGGGCCTTCCAAAGTGCTGGGATTACAGGCGTGAGCTGCCGCGCCCGGCCCCAGCTATTCCTCTTAAATCCCTTCCTTAGCCCTCGGGTCCTGGCGTTGACCATTCACGTTTTATTGATGCCTGCCCCAAACCGGGCGCTGGGGATGAAGAGGAGAAAGATCCCTATTATCCAAGCATTGGCTTTTTTCTGGAATGGGGACAGAAATGCAGACTTACCACTGTATTTCACTGTGATTTGTGCTATGGCAGAGGGAGGCACAGCGCCTGCGAACAGGGAGGCGTGGCTTCTAGCCCAGGTTCTGGGAGGCAGGGGACTGTGAAACCTTGAAGGAAAAACGAAAAAGCTTGAATTGAGTCTTGAAAGTCTAGTTAGGGTTTCTCTTAGTGGGAACCTCACGTGCAAAGGCAGTAAAACAAGAAAAAACCTAGTCCCTTAGGAAACCAAGTCCACAGTTTGGATTTTACAGAGTGATAAGAAAGGATGGAAAACTGGGGAAAGGTTACATTTTGAAAGGCATTATACACACTGCCCAGGAGTTTGAACTCTGTGGGGAAGCATTGGAGAGCTAGCAAAGGCTTTTTTTTAGATGGAGTCTCGCTGTGTCACCCAGGCTGGAATGCAGTGATTCTATATAGCTCACTGCAGCCTCAACCTCCCACGCTCAAGTGATTCTTCCGCCTCAGCCACCTGAGTAGCTGGAACTACAGGTGGGTGCAGGCCGCCATGCTGGGCTAGTTTTTATATTTTTTGTTGAGATGGGTGTCACACTATGTTGCCCAGGATGGTCTTGAACTCCTGAGCTCAGATGATCCTTCTGCCTCAGTCTTCCAAAATGCTAGGATTACAGGCATGAGCCACTGCGCTTGGCCCTTTCAGTTTTTCTTTTCTTTTCTTTTTTTGAGATGGAGTCTCGTTCTGTCCCCCAGGCTGGAGTGCAGTGGCGCAACCTCGGTTCACTGCAAGCTCCGCCTCCTGGGTTCACACCATTTTCCCGCCTCAGCCTCACAAGTAACTGGGACTACAGGCGCCCGCCACCACACCCAGCTTATTTTTTGTATTTTTAGTAAGGACGGGTTTTCACCGTGTTAGCCAGCATGGTCTTGATCTCCTGACCTCGTGGTCCGCCTGCCTCAGCCCCCCAAAATGCTAGGATTACAGGCATGAGCCACTGCACTTGGCCCTCGGTTTTTCAAAGGCATCGCAGTCTCCCAGCCATTACTGTTTTCATGTTGGCCTCAAGGCCTGAAACACCCTGCTGTCTCCCCTGAGCCAGGCCATTCACCAGTTAGGCCTTAACCTAGACTTACCTTCTTCTGGGAGGTCTTCCCTGACTACTCCAAGGCCAGGTTGGGTGTTTCTGTCCTGGGCTCCGCAGCACTTTATACTTCCGTATCCTAGCCTAACCCATGCCATACTTTCTTTGTTTGTTTGATTAATCATTTGTGTTGGCCACTGGACTGTAAGCTTTTGTATCCCTAGAACCTAGAGCACTGCCTGGCATTTGGAAGGGAGACAGAGTAGTACGGTGATCACAATCATGGTTTTTTTGTTTGTTTGGTTTTGGGTTTTTTGGCTTTTTTTTTTTGAAACAGGGTCTTGCTCTGTCGCCCAGGCTGGAGTGCAGTGGCACAAACACAGCTCACTGCAGCCTTGAGCTCCTGGGCTCAATCAATCCTCCCGCCTCAGCCTCCTGAATAGCTGGGACTACAGGTGTGTGCCACCACGCCCGGCTAATTTTTGTATTTTTTTGTAGAAACAGGGTTTTGCCATGTTGCCCAGGCTGGCCTCAAACTCCTGGGCTCAAGCCATCTACCCACCTTGGCCTCCCAAAGTGCTGAGATAACAGGCATGAGCCACTGCACCTGGCAAGGTCATGCTTTTTGATGCTGGGCAGTTCTTTGACTTCTGACCTGGCCACTTGCTAGCTGTGTGAACTTTGGACACATTTCTTTTTTTTTTTTTTTTTTTTTTTGAGGCGGAGTCTCGCGCTGTTGCCCAGGCTGGAGTGCAGTGGCCAGATCTCGGCTCACTGCAAGCTCCGCCTCCCGGATTTACACCATTTTCCTGCCTCAGCCTCCCGAGTAGCTGGGACTACAGGCGCCCGCCACCTCGCCCGGCTAGTTTTTTGTATTTTTTAGTAGAGACGGGGTTTCACTGGGACACATTTCTTAATGTCTGAATGTTGGTAAGTTGGAGATGGAATGATACTGTCCCATACAGTTGTGATAAGGGTTAAACGGTTCAAGCGATGCAAAGAGCTGAGCACGGTGCCTGGCTCATAGTAAGTGTCCAACAAGTGATAGCTACTGGGGCTGCTGCTGTTATTATTATGGTTAACAGGTGGGTAACGAATAAAGAGATATATTATGTAAAATTATCAGAATGTGGCAAACAGCTGATAAGGCAATGAGGAAGAAGTTTTTTGTTTTTTGTTTTTGAGACAGGGTCTCGCTCTGTCGCCCAGGCTGGAGTGCAGTGGCACGATCTCAGCTCACTGCAACCTCCACCTCCCAGGTTCAAGCGATTCTTGTGCCTCAGCCTCCCGAGTAGCTGGGATTACAGGCATGTGCCACCACGCCCTGCTAATTTTTGTATTTTTAGTAGGGACCAGGTTTCACCACATTGGCCAGGTTGGTCTCGAACTCCTGACCTGAAGTGATCTGCCTACTTCAGCCTCTGAAAGTGCTGGGATTGCATGGGTGAGCCACTATGTCCAGCCGAGGAAAGAGGTTTAAAATAACTTCTACGTTTCTAGTTTGGATATCTGCATAGATGGTTCTATTCGCTTAGAGGGAATCTGCAGGAGAAGCAGATTTGGATGGGAAATTTTTTTTTTTATTTTGAGTTGTAGTGTCCACGGGGCCAGTCAGTGACTTTTTTCTTTTTTTCTCTCTTTTTTTTTGTTTTGGGGACAGTCTTGCTCTGCCAGTCAGGCTGGAGTGCAGTGGTGTGATTACAGCTTGGTGCACACTGCAGCCTCAACCTCCCGGACCCATGCAATCCTCCCACCACAGCCTCCCAAGTAACTGGGACTGTAGGCGTGTGCAGCCACGCCCAGCTTATTTTTCAATTTTTTGTAGAGATGGGATTTGTCTCTGCTGCCCAGGCTGGTTTCTAACTCCTGGCATCAAGTGATCCGTTAGCCTCCCAAAGCGCTGAGATTACAGGCGTGTGCCACCACGCCCGGCCTCACCAAGCGCTGGCTGCATGGCCAGTTCTGGAGCCCGGGAGCAGGTTCTGGGTTGAGGGAGTCACCCTGGGAGTTATTTGCTTGTGGGTGATCATCAGAGCCCTTTGTTTGGGTTCGAAATCCCAGGAAGAGTGCGTAGACTGAGCAGAGAAGGGGGCCAGCCACCTCCATAGAGGCAGGGAGAGCAGCCGAGCTGGAGCCGGAGGATTGCTAGATGTGGAGAAGGCCTGCAGTCTTGTCACAGAAGCAAGCAAAGGGTCTCTTTCTACTCGATGAAGGTAGTCAGCACCGCCACAGGGTGGACAGGGCTCAGGTCCCCGGAGGAGGAGGAGGAGGAGGAGGAGGAGGAGGAGGAGGAGGAGGAAGGCACACTGGAGCCTGGAGTGTGGGTGGTCCCCCTGCAGGTGTCAGATTTCGGGGGTCGAGGAGAGGATGAGAGGTGAAGAAGCAACACTGTCACATGAGTTATTCTGAAGGAGAAGGAGCCGTGAAGCCGAGTAGACACACGAGTGTTACCAGCTTTTTGATGGAAAGGAAAGTGCCGGTTGAGGAGAAGGGGTTGAAGATGGAAGATGGAGGGAATGGGCTGGAGGTGAAGGCTTGGGTTCAGTGGTGGGACTTAGGGGGCCCCGGGGCAGGGGTGTGCCCACTTGGCATCATGTTTGCGGGTGGGTGGCCTGGAAGATGAGCGTGTCCAAGCGTGGGTGGCCCCTGGTTCCTTTGAGGTAGGAGGTGAGATGTTGAGCGTGAGGGCCATGTGCATTGAGGGCTCAGGACAACCTGGAAGCCCCAGGGTGCCATGACCTCCCCAGTCTGCAGTGAGCTGTCTCCAGGAGGGAAAGACTGAAAGGGTCTCAGCTGGCGGGACAGGAAGCATGGGCCCGGAGGCTGGCCTGGGAGGAGACGAGGGGACCCAGGCCTTGGCGATGGGGATGAGATCAGAGAGCTGCAGCTTCCACCCTGGGTGCCTTCCTTGCCCTGCCCAGAGCGGCAGCCACACTGCTTTTTCTCAGAAGCCTTGTAACTTTGTGTGCCCTGCCCCATCCAGTTCGCTCCCAGGACCCCGGGCAGCGGCGGGTGCTGGACCGGGCAGCCCGGCAGCGTCGCATCAACCGGCAACTGGAGGCCCTGGAGAATGACAACTTCCAGGATGACCCCCACGCAGGACTCCCTCAGCTTGGCAAGAGGCTGCCTCAGTTTGATGATGATGCGGACACTGGTGAGGTGGATGGAGGAGGAAGCGGGGGATGGGACTGAGAGGAGGCAGGAGAGTCTGCCCAACTCAGGCTGCGGGAGGACCCAGGAGCTCCTGGTGCCTCTGCCAGTGACTGGCTCCCATGGCTGTGAGCAACCACACCCCCTTTCTGTGCCTCAGTTTCCTCTCATGTATGTGAAATAAACAAGAGAGACTGGATGAGCTCTGACATGAGGCCTTAGGCTTGGGGGCATGGAGGTGACGGTTGGCTGGGATTGGAGAATTGGGGTGGAGGGCAGAGGCTGGTAGCGAGAGACCGACTTAGAGCCAGGAGGGCAGGGCCAGGTGTGGTGGCTCACACCTATAATCCCAGCACTTTGGGAGGCTAAAGTAGGCAGATCACTTGAGGTCAGGAGTTCAAGACCAGCCTGGCCAACGTGGTGAAACCACATCTCTACTAAAAATACAAAAACAAAATTAGCCAGGCATGGTGGTGGACACCTGTAATCCCAGCTACTCAGGAGGCCAAGGCAAGAGAATCACTTGAACCCGGGAGGTGGAGGTTGCAGTGAGCCAAGATTGCACCACTGCACTCCAGCCTGGATGACAGAGTGAGACTCTGTCTCAAAAAAAGAACCAGGAGGGCACATGGGCACGGGGAGTGATGAACCAGAGAAAGCTGCCGTCTTTCTGGGCAAGTGCCAAGCAACTGATCGCCTTTGACCCCTAGGAAAGAAAAAGAAGAAAACCCGAGGTGATCATTTTAAACTTCGCTTCCGAAAAAACTTTCAGGCCCTGCTGGAGGAGCAGGTGAGAGGAGGGTCGGCCTGGGAGGACCTCACAGGGAAGGGGTGAGCCTGGCCCCAGCAGGTGTTTGCTGCGCGGGTGAGTGGAGGAGTCTTAGAGCCGGCCCCTTGTCTCTGCAGAACTTGAGTGTGGCCGAGGGCCCCAACTACCTGACGGCCTGTGCGGGTCCCCCATCGCGGCCCCAGCGCCCCTTCTGTGCTGTCTGCGGCTTCCCTTCCCCCTACACCTGTGTCAGCTGCGGTGCCCGGTACTGCACCGTGCGCTGTCTGGGGACCCACCAGGAGACCAGGTGAGTGTGAGACCTGCTGTCCACACCCACTGCCTCCTTCCCACAGCCTCCCCAGACCTCTCTCCCCTCATCCTGGCTTCCTCTCTGTCTGCAGGTGTCTGAAGTGGACTGTGTGAGCCTGGGCATTCCCAGAGAGGAAGCGCCGCTGTGCACTGCCTGGCCTTCAGAAGGACAGTTTCATCACCCAGTGGAGGGGGAGCTCTTCCTGGACCGAGGGAGGAGCCGCTCATTCACCCAACAAAACTGTGTCTTATCTGCCAGGAAAGAGCAACCTCACTCCTGGGAACGGTCTGGCAGGTAGGCTGGGCCCCCAGTGCTGTTAGAATAAAGAGCCTCGTGCCGGAAGCCTGCCTGTTTGGTCGTGGTGTGTTTGAGGTGATGGCGATGGGTCACCTGTCTCTCCTGCTCATGGCTCCATCTCTTCCTCCTGCCTCCCACTCACCCCTGCCACTGTCTGCCCCTCTGTGTCCCTGATCATGAGAGATTCTGTCCCATTCTCCTGCCACCCCCGAGCCCCTGCCCTCCTTGGCTACTTCTCGTAAGTCTTTTTGGTTATTGATTTAGTTGTTTAAACTATTTTATTTATTTATTAGAGACAGGGTCTCACGCTGTAACCCAGGCTGGAGTGCAGTGGTGCAGTCTCGGCTCACTGCAACCTCCGCTTCCCAGGTTCAAGGGATTCTCCTGCCTCAGCCTCCCAAGTAACTGGGATTACAGGTGCCCACTACCATGCCCAACTAATGTTTTTGTATTTTTAGTAGAGTTGGGGTTTTGACGTGTTGGCCAGGCTGGTCTCGAACTCCCAACCTCAGGTGATCCACCTGCCTCGGCCTCCCAAAGTGCTGAGATTATAGGCGTGGGCCACCGCACCCGGCCATGATTTTACTTTGTATTTCTCCAATTGCTATATTTTCAAAGTACAGCTAGGCTCCAGGGATGGGTGACAGGGAGGTGGCGGGAGGACTGTGGAACAGGTGCAGAATGGTACCCCGGAGGGAGCTGGGCCTGTCTTTGTCTTAAGGTACTTAAGCAAAGGGGAGTGGTCGAGTCCTTATCCTTGGTGCTGCCAGACCGAGGGAGCAGTTGTCCTTAGGAAGCCCGTTACCAGGAGCTGCAGTGTGTGAAGTTATTAGCAGTACAGAAAACCCAGAAGTTTCTGGGAAACATAACAGAATTCATGGTATAGATCTAATTTGTCCAACCTGCAGCCCACATGTGGCCCAGGATGATTTTAGTGCAGCCCAACACAAATTCGTAAACTTTCTTTTTTTTTTTTTTTTTTTTTTTTTTTGAGATGGAGTCTCGCTTTGTTGCCCAGGCTGGAGTGCAGTGGCCGGATCTCAGCTCACTGCAAGCTCCGCCTCCCGGGTTTACGCCATTCTCCTGCCTCAGCCTCCCGAGTAGCTGGGACTACAGGCACCCGCCACCTCACCTGGCTAGTTTTTTGCATTTTTTAGTAGAGACGGGGTTTCACCATATTAGCCAGGATGGTCTCGATCTCCTGACCTCGTGATCCGCCCATCTCGGCCTCCCAAAGTGCTGGGATTACAGGCTTGAGCCACCGCGCCCGGCTCGTAAACTTTCTTAAAACATTATGAGATTCTTTTGCGATTTTTTTTTTCTTTTAGCTCATCAGCTATCATTAATGATAGTGAATTTTATGTGTCTCCCAAGACAATTCTTCTTCCAGTGTGGCCCAGGGAAGCCAAAAGAGTGGACAGCCCTGTATTAGAGGTCCCTGGTCTTGGTGGCCCTGGGTGCTGTGACACATGTGAACTTCTTATACCTATCCCTTGTCTAAATGAATTGCAAACTGTAATCTCGTAAGGTCCTTTTGGTTGCTGAACCCGGTTAACCTCATAGCAAAGCAAGTGCTTAGTAAGTATCCGTTGAACAGATGACCTCATTAAGATATTAGAGAGATCCAGCAAAGTCAATGTTAGGCACCATCTTTCTTTTTTTTTTTTTTTTCCCCTGAGATGGAGTCTCGCTCTGTCGCCTAGGCTGGAGTATAGTGGCACCATCTCAGCTCACTGCAACCTCCACCTCCCAGGTTCAAGTGACCTCATGCCTCAGCTTTCTGAGTAGCTGGGATTACAGGCACCCACCACTATGCCCAGCTAATTTTTGTATTTTTTTGTAGAGATGAGGTTTCAACTTGTTGGCCAGACTGGTTTCGAACTTTTGACCTCAGATGATCCACCAGCCTCAGCCTCCAAAGTGGTGGGATTACAGGTGAGAGCCACCATGCCTGGCCAGTCACCATCTTAGGCCTTCACTTTTGGGTTCTTTCCTGGGGGTTGGCTCAAGTATTCGCCAGGGTTTTCCTGAGGAACTGCCTCCCTTTCTCTGAAGACTTGCAGCTGGGCACGCGGTACTGGTTTTGGTGTTAGCTTCATGTTGCGGGGCTGATGTCAGGATTCAGAGACAATCCAGGTGAGGTGGTTTTTCAAGATGGCTCAAAATTCTTTGTCCTCCCATTAGAAAGTGGAGTGTTATGGCTGGGCGCGGTGGCTTACACCTGTAATCCCAGCACTTTGGGAGGCTGAGGTAGGCAGATCACTTGAGGTCAGGAGTTTGAGACCAGCCTGGCCGACATGGTGAAACCCTGTCTGTACTAAAAATACAAAAATTAGCTGGGCATGGTGGCGTGTGCGTGCAGTCCCAGCTACTCTAGAGGCTGAGGCAGCAGAATCGCTTGAACCTGGGAGGCGGAGGTTGCAGTAAGCTGAGATCGCACCACTGCACTCCAGCCTGGGCAACAGAATGAGACCCTGGGTAAGAACAAAAAAAGGCCAGGCGCAGTGGCTCACGCCTGTAATCCTAACACTTTGGGAGGCCAAGGCAGGTGGATCACCTGAGGTCAGGAGTTTGAGACCAGCCTGGCCAACATGGTGAAACTCCATGTATACTAAAAGTACAAAAATTAGCCGGGCATGGTGGTGGGCGCCTGTAATCCCAGTTACTTGGGAGGCTGAGGCAGGAGAATTGCTTGAACCTGGGAGGTGGAGGTTGAGCTGAGATCTTGCCACTGCGCTCCAGCCTGGGCAACAGAGTAAGACTCCGTCTCAAAAAAAAAAAAAAAAATTAGCCAGGCATGGTGGCATATGCCTATAATCCCAGCTACTCAGGAGGCTGAGGCAGGAGAATAGCTTGAACCCGGGAGGCGGAGGTTGCAGTGAGCTGAGATCGCACCATTGCATTCCAGCCTGGGCAACAGAGTGAGACTCCGTCTCCAAAAAGAAAAGAAAAGAGGCCGGGCGCGGTGGCTCAAGCCTGTAATCCCAGCACTTTGGGAGGCCGAGACGGGTGGATCACGAGGTCAGAAGATCGAGACCATCCTGGCCGACACGGTGAAACCCCGTCTCTACTAAAAAATACAGAAAACTAGCCGGGCGAGGTGGCGGGCGCCTGTAGTCCCAGCTACTCGGGAGGCTGAGGCAGGAGAATGGCGTGAACCCGGGAGGCGGAGCTTGCCGTGAGCTGAGATCCGGCCACTGCACTCCAGCCTGGGCGGCAGAGCGAGACTCCGTCTCAAAAAAAAAAAAAAAAAAAAAAAAAAGAAAAGAAAAGACTATTTCAGGGCTGAACAACACCATCTGTGCTTCTCCGTGGCGTCCTAGGCCGGGATTCCCGTCCAGCTTGCACTGTCAGCACAATCTCTTTGGATTCTTTCCTAACTTAGCTGACTGTTTCATATTTTGTGGTTATAAAAAGAGGCACATTGGTTCTGCTCAATGTAAGATTTCTCTCCCCAGTGACGTACTCTGCCTTCTAAAATGACCTTGAGAGGACAGGGCTGGACCCTGAGGGCCTCTGGTTGCTTTCTGATGCCATCCATGACATTCTCTAGGAAGCTGAGTCCAGGGTCTTTGCACCCCCATTGAAAAATCATAATTCGGCCGGGCATGGTGGCTCATGCCTGTAATCCCAATAACTGGGGAGCCTGAAGCAGGCAGATCGCTTGAGGTCAGGAGTTCGAGACCAGCCTGGCCAACATGGTGAAACTCAGTCTATACTAAAATTACAAAAATTAGCCAGGTGTGGTGGCTCACGCCTGTAATTCCAGCTATTCGGGAGGCTGAGGCAGGAGAATTGCTGGAATCCAGCAGGCAGAGGTTGCAGTGAGCTGAGATTGCGCCACTGCGCTCCAGCCTGGGCAACAGAGCAAGACTCAGTCTCAAAAAAATGAAAAGGCCGGGCGCGGTGGCTCAAGCCTGTAATCCCAGTACTTTGGGAGGCCGAGACGGGCGGATCATGAGGTCAGGAGATCGAGACCATCCTGGCTAACACAGTGAAACCCCGTCTCTACTAAAAAATACAAAAAACTAGCCGGGCGAGGTGGCGCGCGCCTGTAGTCCCAGCTACTTGGGAGGCTGAGGCAGGAGAATGGCGCAAACCCGGGAGGCGGAGCTTGCAGTGAGCTGAGATCCGGCCACTGCACTCCAGCCTGGGCAACAGCGCGAGACTCCCTCTCAAAAAAAAAAAAAAAAAAGAAAAAAAAAAGAAAGAAAGAAAACCATAATTCCCCAAGGAGAGCCTGAAACAATTTTGCCAGCTTCCTTCGTGAAGGAAGATTTTTTTCCTACCTTGGGAGACACCTGGTCTTTGGGAAATCTGTACTATGCTAGAAGGTTCTAGGAGGTAAACCTAGTGTCATGAGATAGGGGCAGCACCACCCTTTCCTGGGAGCACAGAGGAGGAAGAGGTTGGTGCCAGGATTTGGAAGTCTGGACACTGGGGCGGTTACTCCTTAGAACCTCAATGAGGCTGGGTGCTGTGGCTCAGGCCTGTAATCCCAACACTTTGAGAGGCTGAGGCAGGAGGGTCTCTTGATCCCAGTGGTTCAAGATCAGCTTGGGCAACATACAGAGACCCCGTCTCTACAAAAAAATTTAAAAATTAGCCAGGTATGGTGGTGTATGCCTATAGTCCCAGCTACTCAGGGGAGGATGGCTTGGGCCTGGGAGGTTGAGGCTGCGGTGGGCAGTGATCACTTTACTGCAGTCCAACCTGGGCAACAGAGCGAGACCCTGTCTCAGAAAAAAAAAACAACAAAAAAAAGATCTTGATTGTAATTGATGTGAGTTAGGAGAGCCAAGAATTCTGGGAAGCAGGACAGTTGTGTCTCAGTCTTGGAGAAATCCTGGTTTGAGTGCTTACTAGTGGTGTAGCTTGGACAGGTCACTTCACCTCTCTGATTGTGTTGGAGCCATGCTGCAGCTATTGCAAGGATTCAGTACACACCTAGCCCGAGGCCTGGCTTCCAGTGCGCACGCAGCAAATGAGAGCCCTTGATGATACTGCCAAGACCTAAAGCATATTGTTGAGTTTTTCACAGCCA